GTGCTGAGATTTTGTTTCCTGCAGGTCTACAAAGGAACAGACTGGTCGAATCTAGCAGCCGGTTTGGCTGCTGGTGCAAGGGTTGCGGCTCGCCAATCGTGTAAAATAACGAATGACATGAATACGGATAATTTAGAATTGAGGATATCAAGTTCGCACTTACTGGACAAAGAAGTTGGAAAACAATATGTGTTTGAGCCTCAGAAGTATGTTTTTTTTAAAAAAATTCTGTTTTGTCGTAAAAAAAAAATTCACTTTTTTCTTATTACCAGTGGATTTGACAGCTACTTATGGCGTCTGTTTTTCGTCTGCTTAGTCTTCTATAGTAAACACAAAGTTTGTAATTTTAAACTTGACAATCAAAAATTGATAGTATTACAGTGAAATTTGAAGCTCGTCTCCGGTATGTGGAGACATAAAGGGTATAGAAAAGACCCTAAGCGTTAAAAAAATGTAAAAGAATAGGATGAAAAAGAAGGAAGAAAATACACTGTAACCCTGTAATTCCACTCATTTCCCTCTTCTCACTAATCCTTAACACTTCCACCTACTTCCCTCCACTCACTAATTTCGAACAGTTCCACCAAATTCTAAATAATTCCATATTACCTACATTTTCACTCACTAACCAATTTGCCCTCCTTTCCCTCCTTTAATTTTCCCTATATAAACTCCTTAAAACCCAGGCCCTTAGTTTTGGGAATCAACAAGCACCATTTGTCCGCTATGTTCTGCCGCTACTAACGGTACTAGCGTCTCGCCTCAACACCACCAGCGTCCTCGTTCTGCTGAACAGCTTGTGCGACTCCCCGGCTGGTCGTTTTATTCGAAGCGAAGCTTTTATTGGAAAAATAAATGCTGGTACTCTTCCCTGTCTTCCTCTGCTGCAGTCAAGGAGCACACGAGGACTTAACAACACTGCAAATGCAACTTAGTTGATTGATTTTTACAAGATTTTTTTGTTTTGGCTCTAATTTTCGTAACATAGTGAGGCTCGCATCTCGGAGGCGAATACGGTTTCCAATTTGGCATCTTAATTAGGCTCACTGATGACAAATTTTGTCACTAAAATATCTGTTGTCAAAATTTCATTTTAATCTTAAATCTTAATATATATATATCTTTTGCAAAGACTAATCTACCTGGACTGTCCACTTGTTTTTGGCCCTCCTACTTGTTTTAAAATTACTGTACGGCCTTTTGTTCGGTCTGTGTATACAGCTAAGAGATGAAACACAGACTGCGTCATAAATGTCTGCATATACATGACATTCAAGTGAAATCCTTCTATTCTATTTCTAAGGACCGCATTTTATTATCACGATAATACCACTTTTTTTTTTCATGTTCCGTTCAAAATAGCTATAAATCCATTGCGCCGTTGCTGAAATGTATTTTTGGTGTTATCGCGATGTAACTGTACTGTACTGAATTATTGTCCCTGATATTGGGTTGTTTTATAGTTTTATGGTTGTGCATTTTCAGGCCCATAGCTTCCTGGATGCGTAAAGATGTTGTATTCATCTATACTCCTGTTCTGGTTTGCAAATTTCCGGCGAAAACTGTTGGTATCGATGATGCTATTTCGACCACAGGCCTTATATTCTCACAATTTTATCGCTTTTCATCGTGGTAGACAGCACAGTGGAATGTTTTTCAACTTTAAAGATGGCCGAGAAAAATTTATAGCAGCTTTTTAGAGGATCGAAGTAAAGTAGCAAAGTTCAAATTAGTAATAATTTACTAGGAATTTCAATTTTTTATAAAAAAAAAACTGTAAAATATAGATTTTTGAAATGTTTTGTATTTTTGCTGTCAAACGAGCACAATTTTTGTCTAATTTCTTGTAACAACAAGTGGCACTTTTTTTTGCGCTTGAACTTTTGATTTGATTGTTTCAGTAGAGAAACCAACCATTTTCCCCATACCTCTTCACCTTGGCTTTTCTCATCTGTTAGTACTTTAATTCTGCGGCAGCTTGGAAGTATGATATGTTTTTGGATGCTTTTAAGCAATCTTCATATGAGCAAATTAAATGATTTGCGTTTTTTGCTTAACATGAAATTATTCTGATCTTCTTAGGTTACTTGATTTCTCAAAAATTAGCTCAAATCGTTTTTATTAATTGGAAATTGCTTTTGTAAATAAAGGAAAGGGGGTAGAATAGTAGTAATAGTAGCACTAGTAATGATGATAACGATAATGATAGTGATAATAATAACAATGATAATAATAACAATAATAATAGTAACAATAACGACAGTACTAGCGATATTAATATTATTAATAGCGACATTCGTAATAACGATAATAATAATTATAGCGATAATG